CCCCCCCCCCAAAAAAAAAATGGAGAGATAAGAACGCGTCATTTGAATTGAAGCGTGTTCGCCCACGTGGGAAGCTTGCGGCACAGTGCCCTTGCACATCACATCGACCCCGCAAAGACGAGCGTGGAACCATTCCTTGATATTTTGATATTTTGATATTATTTTCAAATTTTCGCAATAATCATTGTTGGGCTGTTCGATTTTTACTTTACTCTATTGAGGAAGATCCCGTCCAAGTATAATGGAGGGAGGGCAAATAGTGTCTAGTGTCCTTGGCTTTAAGAAACAATTGTTGTCGAGGCGGTGTCGCACGTGTGAAGTTCGAGTCAAACGAAATATCTATTTATAAATAGAACATCAGGGGGGTTCGTTCTACTGAGTATTCCTTACAGGGATAGGTATGTTAAAGACCAATAAAGTACAATCAATCTTATACAGGGAAGCAAAATCGATGCAAAGCTCGGCTATGTTGATTCTTCGATGTCGCTCTTCAACAGTAGGTAAAGGTAACAAGAATGTGGGCAAGGTTGACATGGTTCTATCATATGACCAACAACTCAACTTGCTGGAGCACATCGACATCACATCACTGGGAGCCCTACTCATCCCGACTGAAATCTAACTGTTTGTATTGCGTGGGAGGCTCAGCTGGATGGCACGCAGTTTGTTTGCTGTTGGAATAACTTCACAAGTTCCCTGGCTTGAGAATCACATGAAAGCTCCTTTCGGCCTGAAGAGCTGTCGCCAACGATTGCAACCATTCAACTATTTGCTTCTATTGTTTGAGTATCCCGAAATAGCGGTACACAGAGCGATGCAGAGCGTGCCACACACAAGGGTTTAATAATTGCCCGGGCCAACAGACCTCGTCCCTACCAACGGTTCTATCACGCGTTCCGACATCCGCGGAGATTTTACCCAAGGCTAGATTCGAGAGAGTCGAAAGTGACCAGTTGACAGCGTCTGTCAAGAACCTGTTTGCCAACTGCATCGCTACGGCAACGAATTCTGAGGGTTGTCTCCTGGAGAGAATCTGGCTGTTCCAACCAACAGTGACAGTTGCCTTTGAGCTTTCAGCATCCATCACGTCTGCAATGCCCTTCCTCCGTGTGGTTGCGACTTGCGACTTGCAATATGCTCACCAGGGTCTGTGCCAGCTTGGCGGGCAGTCTTCGTTTGTGCATCAGAGCAGGGGATTTCTGATCTGATCTGGAGATCCTATGCGATCATTAGTGCTTTGGCGTAGATCATGAGTATTGCACATCATCTATCCACTTCCGACGATCAAACATGTCATGTCTATGATCTTCAGCTCCAGATCGTTGTTGTACTGTGCAGTAAGGCATCACCCAATGTATACAAAACATAACCAACGCGTAGAATCGCTCGGGGCCCTTATCGCAGTCTGGACTCCAGGTTGATCTCTCTCGGCACAGGGGTGGTCGCTCTATGATGGCTATGGCAAACCCTGCCACCCTTTTGATCCACCGCCGCGCTCAAACGAAGATGCGGCGAAGTAGTCTCCCGTCCAGTTTCAACACGCAGACCACGCCACGCTGGGGAATCCATCGCTCATCCTCACGTCAAGACCCAACCACAGCCCCTCGGAAGTCTCGGCTTTGAGCAAAATGTCGAGTAGTCAGTCGGTTGACTCGGTTCTTTGAAGAGTGATCGGACCTTCGCAGTTCTGGTCTCTTCATTCATCAATCGTACGTAGATGTCTGTGGGCGCAATGCGGCACGGCATGTCCAGAAGGGGGACGAATCGCCTCTGCCAGGTCTCTGGATACAGTTTAGCACAGCACGAAAACAGCACGGATAGAGCCATGTGCGGACAAGGGCTTATGCAATGGGGCTCTCCCGCACGTTGCAACGGGGCCCATTCGGTGCGTTGATAGTCTTGATGGTGTAGCTATTTCCAACGCTGTCCGAGCCGTGCGCAGCATCCCGCGGGGCAGTTCTGGCTTGGACACGGCCCGTTCCAAGTTGTATTCTGCGCTTTAGCCAGACCCTCTTCTCAAGTGTTGTGAAGGAGGGGGGGAAGGGGGAGAGGTAATGTGCGATTCCGCGGTCTCTCTTGGCTTCTTTCTTGCCAGTATTTTATTCCATCCTCTCCCCTGCCGCGTCGCACCACCCGGTTTCTGATTCTTGCTATTGGAATCATGAGCCGTGCTGCTTGCTTGCTTGCCTTGCTGCTTGTCTCAACGACGGAGCGCTCGATACTTGACTTGTCTCTTATCTGTCACTGTCCCCCCCGCCTGTCCTCTCACTCCAGCTTTTGTCCTCTAGCAGGTTAGAGTCGGCGGGTTCATCTCTCAAGCCGTGGTTTCCGGAGATATATTGTGATAGAGAAAAGATCTAGAAGCCTTGATCTTTTCCTACTGTTCTTTGAATCCTGCTTCTTCGACCACGACGATCCGGACTATACTTATCTATTAATCATATCCCTGTGTTTGTCAAGGCTGTTCATTGTGAGTACAAACCCGCCCTCAGGAATGAAGTTATATTGACTAATTCCTAGTAGCCAGGACAGTAATACCTCTGCATCGCAAATTCTCCAAGAGCGAGAAATCCCAGCAGGAATATATATTTCTCTGTCTCCCGGCCATCACATCAAAAAAACCCCCTCACCAAAATGGCCTCCTCCTCAACCCTTACCACCCTCCCCACCGTCCTCCTAACCGCCACCGGTCTTCCCACGCCCGACCCCTTACCCCCCCAATTCGAAAGCTCTTCTCCCATCTCTTTCCCCGTCCCCACCTCCACCGCCATCTCCAACGCCTCCAGCTCGTCCACCTCCAGTTCCCTAACCCCCGGCGTCAAAGCCGCCATCGGCGTCTGCGTCGCCACCGTCGTCCTCGGCATCTGCCTCGTGCTCTTCCTCCACAATCGCATCTACCGACGCCGCATACTAAGACAGCAGCATCTCATCCGCGCCAGCGAGAAAGGGATGCAGAACGCAGCCGCCTTTCAGAGGGCTCTCCCGCCCGAGTTCTTGGAGAATGGGAATGCCGGCTTTGGGACCGAGAAGGTGAAGGAGCCGGAGAAGGTGATGGGGAAGGAGGAGAGGGTGGGTGATCCGTGTGTGTCGCCGCATGAGCTGGAATCAGATTTCGGGAGTTTGGAGAGTTTGGAAAAGGCGAAGACGAAGGGGCACAGGGTTGCAGAGTATGGGCCGAAATAGAAATTAAATAGAGATAAAAAAATTGTTAAATAGATATATAGGTATATTGCAGTGTTCAACGTGCTATGGATGTGTGAGATTGGAAGATCCTCCCTATATAAATGAGCAGTCATGACCCCTGAACTCCCATCCCCAGAAGACAAACCGCGCAAATCCAACCCCACGCTAAAGCCCAGCACCGTATAGATACTTTATCAATAGTAACTACCTCGACATATCAAATCACGGGACTTCCCCCGTGATATACCCAATCTGTCTATGGTTCATGCCCGCATCTCTCAGATCCGCCGCCAGCTCCCTCGATGTCTGGACCAGCGATTTCTGCATCTTGATACGCGCCACTTCCCGCTCATGCGCCCTTACATTAAACACGTCGTCGTTCGCTCTCGCGCGGCTCTCGATTTCTAGCAAGTCACGACGGCCTTCGTTCTCCGTGCGCATCTTGGCGCTCAGGTGTTCGATCTGTAGCGTGTTGCGTGCGCACTCTGCGTCCACGGCTTCTTGCCTGAGCGTGCGCTGCGTGCCGAGGTACATGGCACCGATTGCCTTTTCGTGTTCGAGTTCTCGGGTCTGTCTCTGGGTCTCAAAATGGAGTTCTGTGTTCGCGCGTTCGGCCAGGAGTTGTATGGCGACTTTGGCTTTCTCGCGCTCGTTCCGGATCTCGGCTGCGGTTTTCATGTCCATGATCTCTATAGTGTGCACGGCAGTAAGTCGTTTCAAATCAAGGGAAGCATGGACATCTTGCTCTTGTTCAGCGCGATGCTTTCGCCGCAGTTTCTGTCGTATTGCTTCTTCCTTGATATAAGCAGGAGCGCCGCACCAGTCGGCTGGCTGATCCATCTCGATGTCGTTGGCCCAGAACCTGTCGACGACTCTCTTGTTCCGTAATAATCGGAGTATAGAATCCTTTTGCTCCTGCGGCCCTTCGAAGAGATCCTTCTCTACGTATTTGGTGAGTGAGTATGTGTATGTCCCATCTTCGTAGAGAAAACAGTCCTCATTCACGTACTCCCACATCATCTTTAATAACACGGGCAATATTAACATCGGATTCGACGAGTTCAGCGCGTAGTGGAAGATTGTCTTCTCTGATTTGTCCTCGGACAGACAGCGCAGCCGGATATTCGCTCCCCCCGCCACCAAGCACTCGACTGCATCTTCCAACTCTATCATTCCTGGAGCTGGGTCCTTGTCTACCGCGTTAAGACACAGTTCAGCCAAGGCGCTCCGTCCTTGGTGACGCTCGCTAGGATAATCAACCTTGTGGCCGTACTTGATCAGGACACGCATTGTCTCGCAGCGCAGTTCGCGAGCCGCATCGTGGAGACTGCCATCGTCGCATTCGGCTCCTGCCCGAAGAAGGAGTCCCATTATGGCCGGATTATCTAGCTGGCTCGCCCGAGAAAGAGGAGTAATGCCGTTCTTGTCTGGAGCCCTGACGTTGACGTTCTTGGAAATGAGTTTCGCCACGATTTCCGAACGTTGGTTTTGTATGGCAAGTATCAGGGGAGTCAGGCCAGACTTAGATACGAAATCGACATTGGCTATAAGCGTGCGTAAGTATACGGGATCGAACAAAACAGTGCTCCAACAAACTTACCTCCTTCGTCAATGAGTAATTCAATGTTCATATTTGATATCTTCTTCTCAGGCTGTTCGAGAGCCCAACATAGTGCCGGACATGGTTCTGGGTCCATGGTAGGGTCCCAGTTGCGGTTTATCCACTGGTTGGGATCGTAGCCAAGGTCGAGGAGAGCTCTCAGGATTTGAGGCTTTTTAGGGAAGCGCTCTAAGGCGGTGAATATTACAGGTGTAAGTGTTGAATCCGGATGTTTGAAGCTTGTAATGGATATTTCATCATCGCCATTCAATGAATCGATAAAGGCCTGCATAGCTCTTACTAGCATTGTGCTATCGTTGCAAGTCTTGAAAAGATAAGGAATCGACATAGCTTTGCTATTCGCTGTCGCACCGGGCAGGAGTTTCTGGAGAACATCGACATTGACTTGCAAGGCTGCTCGCTGTAAAGGCAATCCTTGTTCAAAGTTAACATTCGCACCGTAATGCAACAAGACATCCAGAATATCCATTGGTAGACCCTCAGTAGCATTTTTACATGCATCGACAGCTCTGCAAAGAGCTTGTCCCACGACATCTCCAGTAGCACCGCTCTTGAGCATAAGTTCCATAATTGAAACTCCTTTGTAAGACTGCCAGATGGATTCGGTAGCCACTGCTTGATTGAAGGCGGAAGAAATGTATGGAACCGCCTTAGGCGTATCTACTAACAGACTCAGGGTTTCTGAATCGAGTGTAGTGGCAGCATGGACCAAAGATTCTCCTTCATCAAAGGCTCCATAGCTTAAGAGAAGCTTGATCAAACGCCGATCCGGGGGGTCTTCCCGAGTGGCAGAAGTAAGAGTATTTGCCACACAATGATCAATTGACTTCCCAGCCTCCAGTAGCTGCTGAATAACCTGGTACCGAGTCTCTTTGGGAAGTTGGAAGGCCGATATGTATGCCCTCCTGAGAACTTCTTGGGAGGGTTGCCGTTCGAGGAGGAGACTCAAGGTTGCGATCGACGCAGACCGAGTTGCAATATCCAGCGCCTCCCCTTCATGCCAGTCAACTGAAGCTTGACCAACCCTACACAGCAACTCAGACATCTTCAAGTTCGGATCTCCCTCCTTCACAGCCTCGATCAGAGCAGCGCTAATTACATCTCCCCGCATTCCAGCTTCGAGAAGAATCTGAACGATCAAGTGATGAGATTCAGAGTCTCGCTCCTTGAGTGTCATAGCACCACTAAACCCGCTTGTGAGAGTCGACATTGAAGGCTTGTCGCACAGCTTCCCCTCAACGAATAATTTCAGAATATCTGCCTGCCCTAGGCTGGCAGCACAGAGCACAGCCTGGCCTCCATTATGCTCTATCGATGCTCCAGCCTGCAGCAGCATCTCCGCAAGCTGGAAGTCAGAGTGGCTCGGCACAGTTATGAGAGCATCCGAGATGGTATCCTTCGGGATATTGACCTTTAAGAGGATTCTGAGGATGGCACGACGGACCTGACTATCCTTCAGCTTCATAGCTGTCTCGAAGGCCTTCACCTTCGTCAGGGTGGAGGGCAGAACTGTTGAGGAATTCAGAAGTAACTCGAGGCCCTCGAAGAATCCTTGCTTCACGATACCCCGCAAGGCATTGCCTTCCTTGAAGTTGATATCCGCCTGCGGTAGTAGCAGCTTCATGATAGGGAGAGCGGGTGGACCTTCTTTTGCTACAACGAATAGTGCCATGCTGACTTGATCAACCGTAGCTCCAGCCCGGAGGAGCTTTTCGCACAGGGAGTGTCTGTCTAACCCATGCAGGCCACAGGCATGGCGAAAAGCGACTGAGAAACTCTGGGCCGTTAGAGGCTTAGATAAAAGTAAGTCCGTGATGACTGGATCGCGGATACCCCAGAATACTGGAGCTCCGTCGAGTGCATTGACATTCGCGCCTGCCGCTAATAGGATTTGTATGACTGAAGGATCTTGTTTAGATGCAAGGGCGGACTTGATCTCATGAACTAGTACCGCATCCATCATGTTTTGTGGCTTTGCACACCGAAGAAGAAGTTCTATCTTCTGTTTCCGATTCGGATCTGTTGGTTGGAGTTCGATTGCACACTTCAATCCCCTTTCCACCGTAGCGGAATTTGGCAAGCCACCGTCGCTTTGGAGCACCATACGCAGAATTTCTGGATCATTATTCTTCATTGCCAATTCTATCGCAAGTCCATCGTGTAAATTGACATTGGCTTTTCCGTCTCGGCACAGCAATAGGAGTAGCGGTTTGTCTTCCGGGCAGTTCTGAAGGATATCGATGACAGCTTGAGATACGTGGGGGCTTTCTGTTCCTTGAGCAGTGGCAGGGCCAAGGAGGAGTTTGATAGTTTCGTAGCGAATGCGTAACTTGTTAATCTTCATCGCTACCGGAATTGCCAGTGCGCACAGGGGTGAAGGCACCTTGCCCTGGAGTAAAATCTCGAGAATATCCACCGCGCCCTGAGACACGATTCCGTAGAGTGTGTGATCTGTCACAACGGCTCCGTTGTGAACAAGAAGTTTTATGAGCCTGTGGGATCTAGGTCGGTCGTTGACTGCGTCGACTAATACCGCATCAACTTCAGGACCTTGCGCTCCCGCACGTAATAAGGTGTCAATCAACATAAATTGGTCATCTCCTCTCAAATTTGCTGGCATTGATGCGAGGGCGTGGGAGAGCGAGAATTTCGACGGATTCCCTTCCAATGCCAAGATTCTAACCATTGTCAAGTGATTTCGAGACACAGCTACTTTGAGACAGCGAGCTGCATTGTAATCGACTGAGCAGACTGCAGAACCTTCCTGGCTTTGTGACGAGATCAGTAATCGAGCAGTATCTAAGTCATTTTGCTCTGCTGCCGTGACTAGAAGTTCGCTGCAGTGCGTCCCTGAAGCCCCATTGACCAACAACTTCGAGAGTATGGCGACCTTGTCTGCAGGAGGAACGGCGCGAGGAATTCGACTGACAAGCTCAGATGCAAGTTCTGGATTCAACGTACGGTCCTGAAGAAGCAATTCAACGAGGTCCCCTCGATTGTGCTGGATTGCATGTGCAATGGCAGCAGCCCCGTTGTATGTGATATCCGCCTTATGAGCCAGAAGGAGTTCCATTATCTCAACATTATCCAACAACGTAGCCGTAAAGAGACCCTCATTGGCTGCGTTACCAACTGGGCCACCACACAACAGGACCTCAATGAGGTCGTAGTTTCCGTTAATGAAGATGGAGGGTGCTGAGAAGATGTGACTAAGAGCCCGGTCCAGCGAGGCACCTGATGGAGGCTTCTGACCCATGACTATAGCAGTAGCGATATCAGTACGACCCGTCTCAACGGCGTACATAAGGGCCGATGCATTATCGTAGTCCCCATCAGCCCCAGCTCGTATAAGCAGCAGTACTCCCAGAAGCCACCCATTGGTTGTTGCAGTTAACAAATTCTGGCTGACATATGGCTCCCCGACTTTCTTTGGTGCACGCAGTAGGAGATTTAACAACTCAATATCGTCCCTTACTGTGGCCTGTGCAAATACCGAGTGATGTCTTGATGCATTCGCCCCTGATGACCATATCAATACATGTTTCCGCCAAATCATGGCTGAGGTTTACTTACCATATTGCAAGAGAATTTCCACAACGGCTAGGTCTCTTGCTTCGAGCGCAATCTCAAGTGATTCATCTAGACTTTCTTGGCTGGGAGACTGTGGAGCCAAGAGTTGAACGAGATCGGCCCGGTGTCTTTGAGTTGCACGCTGAAGAAGCCGTCCCTGTGGTTGTTGATTATCAGAACCCCGGAATTTGGAGATCACGCCAGTACCCCGTCCTCTGGGTAAATTTATATCCCCCTTAACAGCTTTGAACCGTCGTAATAAGACTTCAAAGACTCCTGCGTTTCCATTTTCATCAATAACCCTGGACAAGGCCGCAAATAACTCGGCATAAGTGTATTTGAGAGTCTTTGAGCTTTTGGAAAAAGCTTTGGAGAGACGATTTGGATGTGGTTGGTTCCTGGCCTCCTCGAGCTTCAATTGCCCCAGAATGGCATCCGCTCCTCTCTCATCGTCCGGGATGCAAAAGGTCGGTATTTGCCTCGGGGGATACAACGGAATTTCGTCAATTCTTAATACAGCACCCACACTATGAGCTATTTCCTTCAGTCGTTGTGATCGTCGTGGAGTGGGTTGGTGATCCATATCAATGATTTTCAGGGTCTCTTGGGTATTCGAAAGTCGCTTTGCCGGGCTGCGGGCTTCATACAGACGAGGCTGCGAGCCTGGCGACTTTAACACATACGTCAAGCGTCAATCGAAAATCGCCGAATATGTCACTCAATGATGCGACGTGTATATACAGCGATAAAATGAACGTAGATATGATCCCACTGACTCCGGGTCCTATGAGAGAAGATGAAGTTGGCGTCGAGAGAAAGGGATTTTGGTTTCTGGCTGCGGGGTGTCGTGTCTGAGACCTCTCACAGCCTGCTGCATCAATCCCCTGGTCAATCGCTTCAAATATCCGGGCGTATCTTGCCTTGCTGACAGAGTCTATTAACTGGGAGTCTGCCGTCCGGGGCAAATCCCAGTTTTTTCGTTATGGTCGCAAGAGTCCTGAGAAGCTGCGAAGGGTGCGGAATAAAGATACTTTATCTCTTCTCGTCTTTGTTCGAGGGGTCCTAACATGACGTCGATGTATCCAACCTTACCGAATTCAAGGTTCGAGTAGCCGGATAGTTTGGCCTGGCCGGTATTTAAGCTGTACCCGATGAGGAATTGGATGGATATACGAGATTCGGAAGAAGTGTCGAATACCGACGGAAAGTTTGCAAGAGCTTGATGGTTGGGCGCCTGTCCGCACATTCTGTTCGCTGCATCGCGGCGATTGAGCTGCAACAATGCGATTCATGAATGCTTGGAAGGGTGAGTAATGGGTATTTTTAAAGGGACGTGAGATGGGGACAGAAGCTAAGGGAGGTAATGGGATATGATGTAGGCCCAAAAACACGCAGGGTAAAAATGTGCCGAGTAGAGATCGGAGACATGAGGGTGTGAGACAAAGGGCATGGGACAAAAACAGGACCCTTCTTCACCCTCCAGAATATTCGATGAGCAGGATAAAGATGAAACATATGATAAGCAATAATCAAAGAATTACCCCGCTCCCTCTGTTTCCAACCGCAACCGCTTGGTTCGGGGAGTCTGGTATGTGCAGTAGCAAGAGAATATTGCTACGTCGCCGGCATGGACTTGGAGGCAGGCCTTCAGGCTACTGTTCCAAGTTCGCGCCTGGCTCGAGTCGATAGCATCACTCATCGGAGATATGAGAGCTTTCAGCATTACTCACTTCGAGTCTGCCCTCAATGAATCCAAATGGATCGATTGAAAAAGGATGTTGAGGATTAGGTGTTGGTGTGAAAACCTTCGAAATGAAGTAACAAATAGGCGAGCTGGACAGTGGGGGACGTGTGCTGTGCTCTCACATGCACTTATGTGTGTATTATATAGACACATGTCTATATGGTATATCTAGGTATGTCATTCATTTATATCATACCTTGCCTAGGTACCTATATATCATCAATACCGAGTCTTCCGTCTGTACAGTATACTCCCTGAGATTGGTCGAAACCCACATCACAAGACCCTCATGCGTATGTATATATTCATATTTCATAGTAGAAGTCCATTAGTTCCAAAGATAGAATGCTAGACTATCCAATATTGATACCAGATATTATCATTATGATAGCCAAAGAACCCAACAGATGCGCCTGCAGTGCCCCAGATATTAAGAGATTAACCACCCATAGATAAAACTCCCAGCACCGAACCAAGGCCAACAACCATAGCACCTATACCCCCAGAACCGCCAATCCTAAGAAGCCGTGCCCTCCTTTCCAACCGTCTCCCAGAAGCGCCTGAGACCCAAGACCTTCGCTCTAGTCGGCTCCTCCCTCTCCCTCCCAGCCGCCCTCCCCCACCTAGGCTCCCTCTCCCCCTCCCCCTTCGCATTCCCATCCCTCGCAAACCTCCTCGCCATCCTCCTCACATCCGGCTTCGCATGCTCCTCCCCAGCCCTCCTTTCCCACCTCCTCCTCCACTCCTCCACCCACCCCCTCAGCTTATCCTTGACCCTCTCCCTCTCCACCCTCCTCTTCGTCTCTATCAAGCTCGGGGCCAAGCCTATATACCCCCTTACGCCCGGCTCCCTCTTCGCTCCCCCGGGGGTATTCACACTCGCGTTCAAATGCCCGAAACACTCCACCGGCAGCACGCCGCGGCCGACGAGGCTCTCAGCGCTCGGCCGCCGCGAGAGCTGCCGGTTCAGCTTGATGCGGATGAGATTGTGAGAGAGCGAGCGTGCCGCGAGGGAAGTTCGCGTGATGTAGATGCGTTGGCCCATGAGCTCAGAGAGAGGCGGGCGGATCGGCAGGTAGTGGGTTAGGTTGACGAAGGCGCGGTGGAGGCGGGAGGCGTGTAGATTGGGGTCGAGGGAGAGGGTACGGAGGAGATGGCAGGTTCGGGAGGTGGAGAGGAGGTCGGGGATGTCGAGGTAGGAGAGGATGAGGAGTAGGAGCTCAGGAGGGAGGAGGAAGATGGAGGGGAGCATGGAGGGCTGCATTCCGGGGTTGTTGGGATTGAATAGTGTTTATTTCGTGATTTTGGGTCTGATGGGTGGATTAGTCGTGGTATTTGAAAGGATTATAGGTGCACATTGGCTCTGTACTTGTCGTTGTCGTCGTTGTATCTGTATGTTTATGTTACCCGGGAGAGAGGAATGTTGTTGATGTAGGGATACCGTAAGATCGTCGTCACAGGTAGATAGGTAGACAGCGGGGGCCACGATCGCGTGCGAGACATTGAATACCTTACCTTAGTAAACAATACCCCGTGAACCTCAGAGCGACGGCATGACTTTAAATGTGATTGACTTCACATGAGGAGAGCGCTCAATCGCGGTATCATCCTCTTCACTTGATCACCTTGGATTATCGCGAGCAGCAGCTCCTCTCATACAATCAATCCCGTCATCTTGCCGTTCTTATCATCACGTGATATCCACCCCTCTCTCAAATCGAGATACATCAATCACTTTACTACTCAGATACCAGGGATAGGGAACAAAGCAACAATACTAAGGCAGCAAGACAGCCAAGACAGCCAATTCTTCAGGACCCATTCTTCTGTGCCATCGATCGATCGATCGGACTGCCATCTATCTACAGTGTCCGCTCTGCGATACAACCCCTCCCCCCACTCTCACCCCCCCTCCATCAATCATTCCAGCATGATGGTTGGCCTCCACCAGCGCGTCCGCTCTACAACGGACATCTCTCCCAGAGCCTCAATCCGACACGTCGTCCCCTCCCCACCGCAGCCCCGAGGCTAGCCCACGACCCGGCCTCGCCAGCTCAGCAGGAACAGAACGACGAGGGCCAACCCTCCGGCACAGCCTTACCCTGCGCTGCTTGCTGCTCGCGCGCCCACACACATCAACAGCGAGCATCATCAATCAACCAAGCCAAGCATGAGCGCGTCACGTCCGAGAGCACCGCGTCGTCCCCCCGAACGGTACTGTACTGTACTGTACATCCACGCACTGTACATCGGGGCCGGCGATGTGACGGGTGAGGATTGATCCACCGGCGCGCATGAACACCTCCATCGCGACCTGCATGGGATGGGAGGTCAGGTTGACGGCCGCCAGCAGATGGGGGACTTGTCGAATGATGTACCGGGCTATTCAATTCTGAAGCTTATCGATCCCTCCGCCCCTCTCTTTTCTTACCTTGCGCTGGCGAGGGAATGAATACTTGGATACCTACTCAACGCCCGCCCTCCCAGCCAACCGGTGTCCAAGCCAGCCCTGCACATCGCCAGCAGTTCCATACAGCCTCTCCCGTGGCGCGTCAGCCAATCAGAAGCCCGGGAGCCGCTGTCGTGAGGCTGCCACCCTACCTTAATATTTTGCTCCGCCGTCTCTGCGCTGCTATTGGTCGAGGCGATTAGAGGAGCTTCCCGCCAGACCGCAGACATTGTTCAACACATGATTTAAGACGACCCGAAATTCGGGAACGCCAGGCGGCGCGATTTCAACGTCGAGCGTAGACGTCAATTTCGGAGAGTGCGGATTTGGGCGCTCTCTGCGGGCTCAACAACGAGTGTTTTGGGGGCATTGGCAAGAGAGAGGGCCAGCTGGTCCTCGCTAGTTGTCAGGGTCTTCAGAAAGGTCTTGTTTACATTTTTTCCGTCCTACCAAGATGTGTTTGTAAACACCGGCTAGGGGCCGAGATTCCAATGTCCAACAGTAACTATGCTTTGCATCATCAGGGAATAATTAGATCTCTCTGTCTTTGCCTCACCAATCCCAGCCCTCTCCAGAGAAAACGCCTGTTCCATCGCTCTGCCCACTTCATAGCCCGATCCAAGTCAAGGGGCGTCAGCGATGCGCTATTTTCGTGTTTCTGGATCGAATGCTCGCCTCAAACCGCACCTCCTATCATGCTCCTTACTTCGTACTCGGTAGATGTGACAAAGCCTGCATGTTTTGCATATCCTTTTCGCAAATGTAGTGTAATATTGCCCTCAATAAAGAGGAGGTCGCGGCCACCAGCTCGATCGATAGGAGGCCGAGAAAGAGGCCCAGGAAGATCCCATGGCCAGAATTGCCGTTTGCCGTTATTCCATACGCCGGCTGCCAATCTGGGGCCGGAACGTTTCTGGAGCCGGCTTTCCAATGCTGGCCCAGGACGGGGTTCTTGCATATATGACAGAAGTTGAAATATGACAAGAAGGCTGCGGATTCTCGGTCTAGGTGCATTGCAGCTCAAGCCTTAAGATCCGGGACGCAAAGGCAAAAGAGCCAAACTGAGGTCGCCACGTCAGTTGGGCCCTCATTGGAAAGCCGCTTGGCGAGAGGTATGGCCGTCCTTCGATTCAATGGCTAGCAGTCTGAGTGGCGAGATATACGGAGATCGGCAGCCGTCCCATCAGTCGTGTTGTCTCTCCATGCAGAGTGATGAAGGTACTTGATTCTGCTCCCAGCCATGGCTGACAACACATCGATTGTATCCTTCTCATGCATAGGGAGAAATCGGTATGCACTGTGAAGACCAAAGTATTCTTGCCAAATGCATGTGGCCAACGTGAGTTGCATTAGATCGATCCGTCTTGCCTCACAGGCCGACAGTCATCGGACTCCCTAGTCATGCAGCTACCGTTGACCTCGTCCAGACCGGCTCCGGCATGAAGAAGATCGATTCGATAAGACGATGGTATGACCTCATCAGAACCACCACATCAATCACATCGAGGAGACAATGGTTATTGATCGGCCTCGAGGATAGAAGGTGATGGAAGCGAAAACGGGGGCGAAAGTCCACAGGGAATGCTGCGTAGCTGGCCTTGATTGACAGTAGTGGCTTATTACCACTCAATCTGGTTGGTCCAGGTGAGATTCATGATGATGCCCGTCCATAGGTTGGATATGAGGCTTCCACAATCACAATTGCTCTCGTCTGCTCCGGGCCTATAAACCGACCCGTGCTTGTCAACAAACGAGAAGGCCCACAAGGCCCGGCCCATATGCTCCAGTAATCGGTGAAGGCGATGGTGGCAACAGCTGGAAGCAGGGAAACAATGGAACAGCAACCCGTAACGTGATCGAATGCTGCGGGATTGAATGGATTCGTGTGCATATGTCAAGGAAGGACATGCATGAACTCTGAACTAACAATTCGAATCGCCAGAAACGTGAAGATGGCTGGCGGACGGCTGTATCGACCCGAGCTGATAAGTGGATATCAACACAGGAGACACTCAATCAGACACGAGCTGTAACTGAGGGCGAGATCCTATGGAGGATTGACGCGTCGAAGGAGGCCGTTCGCACCAGGGATCGGGGTATCGAGGAAGGAAGAGCTGCAGATGTGCGTTGTCGTTGGGTTGAATCGAAGAGCGGGGAACTGATGGTTGTCCTTGAGAATTGGGGCCAAACAACAATGCCGGAGGGGCAAACCAATTCAAGTCGTATCTCGACGATGCCCAAGCCAACCCCTTTGTCTATAAGAACCCCCTTTTGAACCCCCTTTTTCTCGAATTCGTCTCGCCATCAGCAACCAGAACGCACTACCATCCACATATCCAATTCAACTTCTGCTTCACTTGATCTGCATTCGATCATCATACCTCAACGACCATAACTCAGACCTTATCACTTGAGAAAGATACCACCAGTCACCAACAACCAGTGAGTCTCTAACGTCGGACAGTACCTTGTTTCAAGTGCGGTCGTCGATCCGAGACCAGGGCTAACCAATGCCGCAGCATTCCGCTTCCTTCCCTCAAGATGTGCTTCTATGACCAGAACAGAATGGCTTGCGGCGACTACAAGTGGGGCCACTTCCGCCAGCACTGCTCCAAGGAGTACCGAACCGGCGAGACCTGCGGCATGAGGCTCGTCATGCAGACCATCGAGATCGCAGAGAAGTGCAGAATCTGCCAGAAGATCGACACCAAGAAGCGAAGCATCCGCAAGGAGGAAGACAAGATCAAGAGATGGAAGAAGGAGACCGGTCGCAGAGCCTCGATTGAGAAGGCTGAGGAGGACATCAGCCGACTGCAGCAGGAAGTCTATAACCTGGAGTGCGAAAGACACTCAAAACAGCAACAGCTATGGTAGGAACCACCCAAAAGTCTGCTCCGACTGGTCGAAGGATACTGACTCGAGTTCAGAATTTGGAGCTGTCCTCCTGTTTCCGGTGCACATGACGAAAATCTGTTTCGTATTCGTGAGCTTTTCTTTTGGGCGTATCTCTATCTGGAATCGCTTGGCAGGGTTGACATGGCGGCGACCTGGCCGAGCGCTGGAAACGACTGGTTAGGGTCAGCGGCGAGTAGCAGTGTCGGATCCCGGGTAGTGTTAGTGTAACGATGAAACGGCCTCAGATATCTATCCCAATCATTTCAACCATCGTAATCATTTTAACCATCGTGAGATTGGTTCATCGGTTTCTCCAGTGACGACCATGCTTCGCACTCGGTGACATGTGAGCACTAACTTTGCCGGGCGCTTAGGAGTCCTGGGCGCTCCCGGAAGGAATAGTAGCAGCACCGTCTTGGTCCGAACAACAAAACGCTTCTTATAGCACCCATGACGACTCTGGATATAAAGGAGAAGATGAGGTGATCGAGGTGAGAAGGCGACGAGGTTGTTGGTGACCAAGATGTGTTGTTGACTTGAGATTGGGGTCGCATAAGCGCTTCCCCCAGATTGGCCTAGACCAGGATCGCAAATACACACTAACACGGTATATATCAGTACTCGAGAGCCGCCCTCCCTTTTGCCGCAATCAACTTGATCGAAAAGGATGAAGGAATCCAAGAACAACGGGGAAAGGCCCATGGTATATGAGACAAATCTGAGAGAACTTGGATAAAGTGTTATTTGCGAACGTGGCTAACCCTCAATGGACATCTGCCGCAGCCTGACTGCAGAACGTAAAAGCAAGCTGATAGGCCCTGCCCAATAAATCAATAGCCAGTGAACAGGCGCTTTTGACAAAGGAAATGCTTGAATGATACAACGCATAGGCAAATTACGCTTAGCTGGTCCAGTAAGAGCCCGATTTCCATATCTCCCTCCGGGAAAAATGCCGCGGAAACTAGTCCATGTAGGAGTGTATTGCAATTCCACACAACGCCCGGACGCCGTGGGATACCAAGATGACAATGGGAGAGGACGAGGAGCCCCATTTACTCCACATTCTCCGCATCTGCGAAACCTCCAAGTAGCGGCCCAACGTCCGCTGATTTGGCAGGGGGCCTGCCCTCATTGGCCCCTGCATCATCCTCTTCGGATATCCAACCATCAGAGACGTTCGTAGTGTCGTCGAGTGGTAAACCAGTTGGTTTATCCGACAGTCCTTCGTTAGATATCTTCTTCAGGACGTGTTGGTACCGCAGTAAACGTGCATCCTGAGCCGGATAGCCCCCGCCTGGTGTTGGTGGGACGCTCTGCGGAACCATAGCAAAGATATCGACCAGATGACTAGACAGATGAATTAGCCCAGGTCTTTGCGCGCAACGGGTGCGGAGGTCTGCGAGGTTCGAGTCTCTTCCACACAACCAGCTGGACAGACATACTTAGACGTTTGTGCTACCACCTTCTGCAGAGCCTCGGTCTCGCGCTGAACCTCCTGAGGGTCAGCTTGCACAATCCCGACATTCTGGTCTCCGAAACTGCCATAGTGGTTCGGGTGAGCTTCGTCGAACAGCAATCTGGAGGTCTCGCCCTAGATGCGCAAAGAGGATGGTCAGCGACGACACCTGGGAACCACAGACATCTCCGCACTTACATCGTCGGAGGGCGCGCCATCGCGATTGCGCCCGAGACAGGAAGAGCATATGCCCATCTTCGTAACAGAGAAAGCGACGGGGTGAAGAACTTGCAGCTCAAGCTCAAGCTAGCACGCGATACCCACTCTAGCTATTGCCGTCGACCGACCAGCATGGGGAAGCAAGCCACAGCCGATTTTCTGCCAGCAAGGCCAGAATGAGGTCCAAGAAGCTACAAGCTGAATGCGAGGCAACTGTTGGCGGTGAGATAGCGGAGCAGCATAACTGGACAGCTGCGATGGTGAAGTTGAAGTTGTTGTTTTCCAAGATGTCAACAAGAAGCAAGAAACTAGAAACCGGGGAGATGCGAGGCGAGGGAAACATTTCCGCCCGCGCTAGACGCGGGAAGGGAAAGGCCCGGGAAGGAAGAAATTCTGGCTCCGATCCCCCGACATCCCCACTTTTGCTTTTGCGCGAAAGCCCCCCATATCAACAGCCTCATCATTTCCTGTTTGGCCCATGCTACAATAGGAATTGTTGCAATTCACATAGTAACTGTATCGACTTCCCTACATGAGTAACATAGTATACTAACTTAAGTTATTTATTTTCTTCATTCGTTTATTCAATTCTAAGATATAGATCCCCCATACCCTACCCAAAACACTCTCTACATACACGCGGCGCCATCCAAGCCTATGACCTTGCCGTTGACCCACTCGCCATCCTGGCTGGCCAGGAAGCATGCCACGCGGGCGATGTCGATCGGGAGGCCGACGCGGTGTAGCGGGCTCCAGGTCATGGCGTACTGGTCGACCTCGTCGTCGGTGAGCTTGTCGCCGTCCGGGATGTACTCGCGGCAGACCGCATGGTACATGTCGGTCTTGATGCCGCCGGGCGCCACGCAGTTGACCGTGATCTTCTTGTCGCCCATGTCTGTTCGTCGTGGGTTAGTTGGAGAGCTTGGGGAGACCCGGGAGAGAGTATGAAGTGGTACAGAAGGGGCTTACCAATCGCCATGCAGCGGGTGAAAGTCTCAATGGCGCCCTTGCTGCCTGAGTATACTGTGTAGATGATTAGCCAGGTCCGTTCTCGCAGCATATGTGTCCTCACGAGTATGTCTCGGGACGCCCTTTGCTTGACCCGTAATGCTACCCATCAGGATAAGTCTGCCACCGATCGAAAGGTGCTTGTACGCCTCTCGAGCAACGAAGAACTGGCCACGAGTATTGGTATTCATAACCCGGTCATACTCCTCCTCCGTGACATCCTTGATGTGGCCGAAACTTACGACTCCCGAGTTGGAGCAGACGATGTTAAGCTCACCGAAGTGGGCGACGGCTTGCGAGAACATTGCAATGATTTCTTTGACCACCGTCACGTTGGCTTTGATAGCGATAGCATCACTACCGAATGACTTGACTGCATTGACTACTTCCATTGCAGAAGAATCTGAATTGGCGTAGTTGACAACGACTTTCGCGCCTCGCCGTCCAAGCTCCAACGCCATCTCACGGCCAATCCCTCGTCCTGTTAGAGGTGTAAGTGAGCTGTTGAAGTGAAGCCCATGAAGACATCTGAAGGGGCTAGGCATACCTGCGCCTGTGACAAGTGCCACCTTGCCTTTGAGACTCGCGCTCTCAATGCCGAGTGGTCCAGGAATTGGTGGTCCATTTTGGACATGGCCGTTACCGTCAGTAGCCACATTGGAAGAGGGTGTTACTGGTGCTTCAACAGCAGGAGTTTCAGCGACTGGCATCTCGGCAGATGGAACTTGCACGGGAGCTTGTTCACTGCTAATAGAGACTCCGGTCATGGCGTCCATTGTAAAAATATGATGTGGAAAGTCTGTAGAAGTTGGAAAGTGGCTTCAAAGAATAGTCTGGGCCGAGGAGGTTAACTCAAAGATAGGTATATATCTTCAATCAGGTGCTGGTACCCTCATGGTTCTATTGCATCTTTCCACATTGGCTCGGACATCCGTGGACATCTTCGTGCAACACTACGGGAGCAGGCAGTATCACTTGAAAAGGGAATTGGGGGTATTGTACGACGCAACGGACTTGAAATGTGCGAGGACGAAAATCAATATCATACGGTACCTTGCTCATCTGCACCAGCGACAAGATGTCCGCGAGGAAACACAAAATGAGGTTTCATGAGGAGCTGGACATGCACAAGTCAGCTTCGGCCTTCGTGCGCCACCTAGAATGACAGGGCGTATACTTTCCGCAATGCCGAAGTACCGAATCCATCATCGTTCCCATATCAATTCTGTAAGACCTCGAATGATATGTAAGACGTCAAATGATCTCCGCTAGATCCGCATTGGCATCAGGGATGGTGATAGCTGCGAATGCACAAACATTCTTGCATGTACCCCTCAGCCTAATGAATAGGCCGAAGGAACAGGAGTCAAAGTTTAGCCGCATAGGGCAGCATTTGGAACATGACCCCTTGTACCTGAGAACACTACCTGGGTGCTTCTTGCACAGTGCTTGGTATACACCGTAGAGTCGGGGAAAGGTGAACATAGTCAACGATGCACCAAACCGGAGGATTCTCTTGCCCTACTGGTGCCAGTGCCCCTCCAAATAGCGTGGTACAAGCGCAAAAAGGAAAAAGCAAAAGGGCGAAGGGGTCTCCTAATCTCATGAAGGACGAGGTCATGGGCAGTTTTCCCGAGATGCAAGCACAAACGACTCAGGGGAAGGAGAATTGATCGAAGGGCATCTGGCTGTATCTGGAAAGAATTGCTAGAAAACAGGTGATGACTTTACAGATTGACACCTACCTGAGTTGCTTACAAACACAGATCAATCGTGTCTGAAGCCAACGCATGTTGATTAGGGTGATGCTAACAGCCTGTCTATGTTCTGCCATACCGATAGCTCCATACCCGCTACCTAAGGTAGGCATACATGCAATATTGACCTTCCAAGCGTAAGCAAAGACAGTCATGGATGCCGTAAGATGTCGGAAACGATGTTTGACGGGCTAATAATTGGGGGGAGACACTACGAATCTAGGAACGATGTCGGTCGGTTCGCCTAAGGAGGAGCCGCTATAAGATAATGCTGCAGGCACCCTTCAAAGGCTGAAAATTAGATCCAATGGCATTGCAGAGGGTCTTTGGGTAATGTTCACCTCCAATGGATTCCCTCGTCACTTTTTCTGCTGCTTATTGGCCTCATACTGCGCCTGATCGATACGTCTGAAACCATCGATAATTTGCTGAGCCTCGTCGAGGTCGCCAGAATCATAAATCTTCAGTCCGTACGATTGCATCATGTGGTACTTGCTGTCGTACCCAGCATCCTTGACGACTTTGTAGTCAGAGTAGTCCTTGGGCTGGACTTGGGGCTTGGAGCTCGAGCTCGAGCTCTGTTGGTTGTTGGATGGCATTTTGTCAATGGTTGCCGTCTTCTGGTGATGATTGAGTTAGGCTTTCCTTGTCGAGATGGGTGGTTCTGGATGGGGAGGGTTCTTCGTGGTGGTAGAAGTGTTGAATCAGCGTTGATGAGGGTTGAGGAAGCGTGTGGGGTAGATGGACCGGATGTCGTTATTATATACCTAATGCATGCATTCGCGCGTGACGGAAGCGACCCCTCACAAGTATCTATACATTACCTTAAAAGGAAAGCAGCGAGAAGTTACTTTGCAGTTTCCACTCCAATTATATGACAATTGCACTGGCTTCAAAACTTTCTTTATCAAAGAGTTCGACAAGCATTGATAGGTAGGTAGATTTCTGCTATCACGGGTTTAATGTCGCGTACACCTACCTTACCTAGGTAGCTGAATGCATACCTTATATATAGCGAGTGAACTTCGTATGCCTTTGGGTTAGGAGAAATGAAGTGAAATGGGGGGAGAAGCAAGAGCACCTGCAACTTACTACTCATGCCATTCATTCATTCATTCATACATACATACATACATACATACATGAACATATTATTTATTTATCATCATCATCATCATCATCATCATCTCTATTCCGCTTTCGCGACAGGGCATAGGCCGGGGTTTCCTCGCCCGCTTTCCAGAAGTACTGCGCTCCAGGATGGGTATCCGATAATCTATTGCTTCCCTTCTTGCCTAGGTAATTCTCTCTCAGCGTCCCGCCCGGAACGGCGTAATCATCCCAGACAAGGCCTCTCCTTCTGAGCTCCGGGATTAGGTACTCAATGATATCATCAAATGTCTCTGGGATCGTCGCATAGCTGAAATTGAAGCCGTCGATATCAGCTACCTCGACCCACCGCTCCAGCGCATCCGCGACGGTTTTGGCGCTGCCAATGGCTTTCGCTCCGTTGCCGCCGAGGATGAGGTGCTCTGCAATGGTTTTCTTGTTCCACTTCAGGCCGTCCGGTGAGAAGGAGGCCCAGTGGTTGACCATGCTGCGCACCGCCGGCGGGGCTGACTCCACGAAGCGGAAATCTTGGTCATCGTCGTACTGGCTTAGGTCGTATCCTGACCAGCCTCCAAAGAGCGCGAGGGCGCCCTCGCGATCCCCATACTTGGCCAACTCTTGGACCTTTTCTTGCGCTTTCTCGTCCGTCTCCGCGACAATGACGAGTAGCCCGGCGACAATTTTAATGCTGTTCGGGTCGCGGCCGAGCTCCTTCGCCTGCGCGCGGATCGAGTCGACGGACGGCCGGACCAGCTCGGGCGTGTGCCCGTTGAGGAAGATCGCCTCGGCATGCCGGGCAGCGAACGCTTTCCCGGCAGTCGACGTGCCGGCTTGGAAGAGGAAGGGCGTCCGCTGCGGCGACGGCGCGCAGATGTGCGGTCCCGGTATCGTGAAATACTTACCCTTGTGATTGATCTGGCGCACGCCTTTGGGGTCTGCGTAGGCGCCTTCGGGTGCATTCGTCACGGCGTCGTCGCGCCACGAGCCCTCCCACAGCTTGTACGTGACGTCCAGATACTCGTGAGCGATGCGGTACCGCTCGTCATGCTCGACTTGCGTGTTGAGACCAAAGTTGCGCGCGGCGGAGTCGAGGTACGATGTCACGATATTCCAGGCCACGCGCCCATTGCTCAGGTGGTCGACGGTTGAGAATTTGCGCGCCATTGAGTAGGGAGATTCGTAGGTTGTAGAGGCCGTAACCCCGAATCCGATGCTCTTTGTGGCGGCGGCCATGGCGGGAATGCTGTAGAGGGGATCATTGATGGGGAATTGGGCCGCGGCGGGGATAGTAGGTTCCAGATTTGCAGGACCTTTGTAGACATCGTAGCCGCCGAGCACGTCGGCGAAGAAGATGGCGTGAAACTTTGCTGCCTCAAGTTTCTGGGCCAGCGCGATCCAATTCTGGATGTCGTTGTACTGGCGACCTTTGTCCTTGGGATACTTGAACAGGCCCGGGTTCAGATGGGCGGGGGCCTGCATGGCGAAGGCATTGAGGATCAATTGCTTCTTGGGGGTGGGAGCAGAAGAGCCCATGATGACTGCTTGGCCTTGACCTGGACTTTGGACTTGGGGGGCTGCGACTTGAAGATGACGACGAGAAGAGACAGCAGCGAGACACGAAGGAGATGGAGAGATAAGGAACGATACTTACAGCGACGACATCTCTCTCCCGTGACTTATTTTTCGAGCACTCTCTTCACGCGCAGCAGCACAGCATTCCGCGGCTCCTGGTCCATCCCTGCACCGGATGATGTTGACACGGCCATACGTGGGGTCGCGACGTCGTGAGGAAAGATTGTGATTGAGCGATGATGGCGTTCTCATCCCCGGTCGATTCGCAACCGCCTACGGCCTCTGCTAAACCCCTCCAACAACGCCCCTCCCCCTCCTTAGCCGAGCACTTTATATCGACGTTCCACACTTTCCAACCTCCCCGAGACCCGTCTGGGACCATACAGAGACGGGCTCAGGGCAACATTTCCGTAACATTTCCACTGTCGCGCAATGTACCTGGCTATGAAGCAGACTATGCCCCCCATCGGCTTCGTCTCGTCGACATCCCGCGCGCAGATGTCGCCATGATGCTCCTCGATCCGGTAAGATGAGCAGTTCCCAACCCATGCACCACGGAACTTTTCATGACCCGGCATTCTTAGCCTTATTGCTCCCCTATTGCGTTTTCTCTCTTCTCACAAGCTTAAGAGTGGGATGTCACGATAAGAGACTCCAAGTTGGTGAGCTCCTATACCTTCATCCGCCCTGGAGATTTCTGTCTGCCTTTGGATGGAGTAAGCCTCTCGTTCGAATCCCTTCTTTTCCATTCAGAACAACAGTCAATTGGTCCTCTACCTCTCTCTTTCTCCCCTCCTCGAGAATTGGCGGATCATGGCTCCCACACTTGAGGCAACTGTGCCGGTGTTAGAAGAGAAGAATGCTTTGGAAAACAAGCCCATTGTCTTGACGGGTGATGGCACTGCTGGTTCAGACAGCCAGCCCACTTCCGATTCTGTCCAGCGAAAGCATGTTCCCAAGTTTGAGCTTGAAGACCATCCAATTGACGAGGTCCAGAAGCTCCGGGTGAGTCTCTTGTCCCAATGCTCTCCCGATTCCTCCTCCGCCATGCTGATGTAGATGCGTGAAAAGGTCGCGGTAGTCGGAGCCGGCCTCTCGGGGATTACTACCGGCATCCTTCTGCCCGCAAAGGTTCCGGGAATCGACCTGGTGATATTCGAGAAGAACGCTGACGTGGCGGGGACATGGTATGAGAACATATACCCAGGCGTCCGATGCGATATTCCGGCCAATGTTTATCAATCAACTTTTGCTCAGAACACCCAATGGTCGGAAGAATATGCACAGGGTGCAGAGATCAGGGACTACTGGCAAGGCGTTGCGCGGAAATATGATGTCTACAAATACGTCCGCCTGCAAAACAAGATCAACGGCGCGTCATGGAATGCGGAGAAGTCAAAATGGGAATTGAGCGTCGAGAATCTAGAGAAGGGCGAGAAGTACAGCGAGGATTTCGATATCCTGATCACGGCTATTGGACGCTTCAATTCTTGGAGGCTTCCAAACTACCCCGGTATCAATGACTACAAGGGTCACCTACGCCACTCCTCGAATTGGGATCCGAACTTCGATCCCACGGGGAAGAGGGTGGCTGTCATCGGTAATGGGGCAAGTGGTATACAGCTGGTTCCAAACTTGCAGAAGGTGGTATCACACCTAGATCACTACGCTCGGAGTAAGACATGGATTGCGGGCTCCTTTGGCGGGGAGGGATCAGGAAGGACTCTTGAGCCCAAGTACTACCCGAAAGAATTACTGAAGTCTTTTGAGGAGGATCCAGAGAAATATTACAAATTCCGAAAGGATCTTGAGGGGAAGTTTTACCAGCGCTTTGGCACCCTGTTCAGGGACTCGGACGACAATAAAGGACTTCGCGAGGAGTTTATCAAACTGATGGCACAGCGAGTACAGAAGAAACCGGAGCTACTTGATAGCCTCATCCCGGATTTCTCACCTAATTGCCGCCGCCTCACCCCCGGCCCAGGATACTTGGAAGCGCTCACTGAAGATAATGTCAGTTTCATCCAAACGCCTATCAAGAACTTCACTGCAGATGGCATCGTCACGACCGACGGTGTCGAGCGGAAGGTAGACGCCGTCATCTGCTCGACCGGCGCTAATGTCGACATGCTGCCTCCCTTCCCAATCACCGCCAACACACACTCCCTCCACTCCGCCTGGACACCGGACCCTATCACCTATCTTGGGGTCGCACATCCCTCATTCCCCAACCTCCTCTTCGTCCAAGGCCCCAACGCCGCCGGCCACAGTGGGACCATCCCCAACCAGGTCGAAACCCAAGTGACGTACGTCGCGCAACTCCTCCGCAAAGTCTCCCACCAAGGCATCAAGACTTTCGCGCCCTCGCAAGCCGCCACCGACGACTTCGTCGCTTACTCCGATGCCTTCTTCCCGCGCACCGTCTTCACCGACAACTGCAGCAGCTGGGCCAACGGCGGCAAGCCCGGCGCCCGTATCCACGGCCACTGGCCCGGTAGCGCCAGCCACGCCAACTGGATGCGTCGCGAGCCGCGCTGGGAGGATTGGGACTGGACCTACCGCAACAAGAGCGGCAACCGCTTTGCATGGCTGGGCAACGGATGGACTACCAAGGAGATCACCGGTAAGGGCGATTTGACGCCATATCTGAGAAAGCCAGGGGATGTGGATCTCAGGGGCTATCATGAGGAGTGGTACGAGGGATTGGAATAGAATGGGCCATTGGATTAGATCAGCTTGCGTAGTTATGAATGGAATAAATGGATAGAGTGAAATGTACAAAGATGGTCCTGTGAGATTTGTAATACATACCTTAGCAGAAAACAGTGGTCTATTTTAACAGTGTTGACACGGTTAATACTCGTTACACGTGTAAAAAGTTCTACACCATACCTAGGCACTCTGTTATTAAGATTTAAACGTGTAGGATTTTTAAACGTGTAGCGAGCGTGTAGGCATACCTTACCTTAACCGATAAGACAGCGTCACAACTCTTATAGTATAGGACCTTACCCCTACTACTCGCCCCCCCTTCTACCCCTTTGCCTAGAATACCGGCGTGTGCCCCTACGCGTAAACTTTAGCTAAATCGATCGATTTTAATACTCTTAAAATTTAGGTGTTGATTATTATAGAATATGTTGGAAACTGGGAATGTCACGTCTATTGCCTAATTAGGTAATCACGTTATCAGAAGTCAGATTTTGTCCGTTACCTTATACCTCGTATCTAGTACATAGATTACTGTATACCTATTACTGTATACCTTATACCTTATATAGCGTTCTAGGTATTACTATATATACTATATTTAGTATACTGTTTTTACTACCTTTACCTGTATATAACTCTCTTTACGTTCTCTATTAAGTAGTTAGTTTAATTTAATTTAATCTACTTAAACCTAACACTTAAATCTACTTAATTCGCCCCTTTATTCGATCCCTTAATTCTTCTTATTTAATAGTTATAAGCCTAGGTTGTTTCTTAGAACTGTTTTAATAAGACTCTTTAACCTTTAGATTATATAACACTACTATCGACCTGTGTCTAGCTACTACTAACGTAGTAAATAGGCCTGTTTTTCGAATATTAAGTAGACGTAAGAGGCTCTTTGACAGCTACTTATAATTAACCTAAACGCCGTACCTAATTAGTAACTAGATCGACTTAAAGGTAATTAAGCGCTAAATCTAGCGCTATTTCGACCTTTTAGACTTACTAATATAGTAACTAACTAAACAACGGGTTTAGTAGTAATTACTACCTAAATTACTACTAATTTGACTTTAAATATAATAGCTAGTACAGTTAATATACTTAATACCTATATCCTTAAAGGAACTAAGGATTAGGACGATTAGATAAGAGGGATCTAAGCCTTTGTAATTAGTCTAGAGATATAAGATCTAGTTAATCTAGTAAGGGCGCTACTACCCTAACTACAAGCGCTAGCTTAGCCTAAACCAAGTTAACTTAAGGAGAATAAACTAAACTTAACTTATAGCTAATTACGTAATAAAGAGAAGGAGTAATTACAGATCCTTTAAGCCTATTATAATTAGGAAAGTCGACTAGTTAAACAGTAAAAGCTAGCTCTATAAGAGCTTAGGGTCCGAATATTTAGTACGATACAAAAGGAGTACGTTTAGTACGTTAATACCTGTCTTATAGTATATAATATACTTGTAGAATTAAAGAATAAAGTAGCTCCTTCTAATAAAGTAAGGTAATAAGAGCTAATTAACAAATATAAGAAGGCTTAGAAGGCCCCTAAACAGGGCTAATTAATAGCCTTATAAGTTAATAACTTCGAAATAGCGTATAGTAACTACCTAGTACTTAAGATAGCTAAAACTAAAGGAACTAGGCTAATATACGACTTTATAAAGGCCCTAGATAACATAGATCTAGTGTTTACCTAGATAGTAAGGCACTAGCTATTTAGGAAAGAGAAAGTTAAATTTAAGAGCGTACTTAATAAATATAAACTCTAACTTAAGAGTAGAGAAGAACCTAGAGTAAGAGAGAGATATTACGCGGCTTTTACTACTCTTTAAGAAAAAGGATTAAACAAAGGATTAGACAAAGGAAATAAGAAACCTTGTATATATAGTAATAAGAGGCATCTACTTAAAAGGTACTATTACCTAATCCCTTTAATTTGACTAGAAGGATAGGTACTATACAACAATATTAAGGTAAAGATTAACAAAAAGCTAAAGTTAAACCCTAGCTTAAAAAAGAAAGTTAAAGCTATTTAGAAAAAGGTACGTAAGAACTTATCTTAATTAGGTAATTTAACCTTAAACTCGTTCTAATTAGGTAATTTAAATAGTAAAAAGATTACTAAAGTAATTAAAGAAGAAGAAGACAAAACCCTTAGAGCCTTTACTATAACAACTATAGCTAATCTAACTAATATCGCTAAGCCTACTAAATTTAGCTATTTAGTTACTAAGAAAGGGGAACAAGATTACCTACTAAAACAAAGCTTTATCCTAGACTTAAGAGCTACTATTTACGTCTATAACAATAGATCTAGGTTTAGCTTAGTCTAAAAAACATCTAAACAAAGCTTCTTATTAGCTAGAAAGGATTAAATTCTAATTAAAGCTTTTAGTACTATAAAGATCTAACTTAACGGGCTAAAAGGGGCCTTTACTATAGAGCTATTAAATACAGCTCTAGTATCTACTTTTTATATAAACGTAGTATCTTTTTGTTAACTAATCTAAAAGGGGATCTACTAGGATACTAAAGAGGAACGTCTAACCTTTAAAAACAAGACGTTTTATTATACCTCTATTAAAAACAGCTAGTAGGTATTAGAATATAACCTGATTAGTACAGTAACTACTAAAACTACTACTTACCTTGTTAACTCCTATATTCTAGCGCGATCTAGTGCTTTAACCGAGCTTTAGTATAGACGCCTAGGTTACCTTTAAATTAAAGCTATTTAGTGCCTTTTAGACGTAGCTTAAGACGTTAATATAGTAGCTAAGGATCGTTATCTTATAGCTTCTTATAAAACCTATTATACCTCTAACGCTAAACAGTAAATATCTTGTGTACTAGCTAAACAAGCTACTACCTCTTTTAGACAAATCTATGTTAATCTAATCCTTTTCTATACTACTAATACAGGCAAACGCTATATCCTTTATATTTTAAAGCAGTAAAGGTAGTGGTACTACACAAGCCTAGAAAGACCCTTAAATAGTAACAAACCGCTAAGGCCTATAGGCTGATATTACTCTTAAGCGCGATAAGTAAAGTAATTAAGTTAGTAATTAGCCGGCGCTTTACTAACACTATAAAGTCGTAAGGGCTCTTCCTAGAAACGTAGATAAGAAACCGGCTATAACGCTTAATAGACCTTATAGTTAAAATAGTAGTTAACGCTATATATATAGTATAGAGCTATAAGGCTATAGCGTCTTTTTTCTAACTAGACATTAAAGGCGCCTTTAATATAGTAAACTATATACGCCTTCTTTATACTCTCTAATACCTAAGGTTCCTTATATAGGCTGTATAGTAGGTATATAGCTTCTTTACTAATTAGACGGCTAGCCTCTTCTTTAACAAAGAGGTAGCGCCGCCTTAAGAGGTTACTATAAGGGTACTATAAGGCTCGCCCTTCTCTCTTATCTTCTTTCTCTTCTATACTACTAGCTTATATACACTACTATAAAGATATATAAGCCTTATTATAGTAAGGTTCACTAATAACCTTAACCTTTTAGTATTTAGTAGAGACATAGTAGAGATACGCTAGTACCTTAAAGGGGTATAGTAGACCTATAGCTAGTAGGTACAAACAAGAAGAATAGAGTTCGCCCTTAAAAAGAGTGAGCTTCTTTACCTTACCTACGCTTATACTATACTAACAACGTCTATCTACCTTAATAGCTAGGTTATACCCCTAGTCTAAGAGGCCTACTTTCTAAGAGTTTAGATAGATTAGAAGCTTAGGTAAAAGGGCTACCTTAACGCTATTAAACAAAAGTTCGCTACCTAGTAGTTTACGCTTATAAGGCTTACCGCGTCCGCGTAGGGATATAGCCTACTACGCGCGAGAGAGATCTATATAAAGGTAATCTAGAGCGCTATAGTATATAGCGTAAGGGTCTAGTACTGCCCCTCTAGGTAACGAGCTAAGGAGATTATAAAGGACCTTACTATAAAGTAGTTATAGTACCTTTATGTCGTTATAAGGGCGTACTAAGCGACTCTTGTTTAGTTTCTTAAGTCTAAAATAGCTACGCCTCTACTTGACCTCTACCTTAACAAGAGAGTAGTAGACTTTAAACAACGTCTAGAACGTATAAGTAAGAGTAAACTTATATAGTCTATTTATAATAAGGTAGCGACCTACCTTTAATAACGCTAGAGACACTACTATAACGCTACTATAGCGCTACCTTATACGTTACTCGAGTATAAGGCAGGCCGAGCCGTATAGGTAAAGGACTAGTATAAGGACTCTCTTCTAGAAGAGACCTTATAAGAGAACTAGAAGATACAATAGACCTAACACGATAGTTTACTAGTACACTACTAAGGTACTGCCCCGGCCGCGCTACCCGCCCTTTTAGTAGATACCCTTAAGAAGTACTTACTCCTCTATAAGTATAAGAGCTTACTTTTAATATAGATCTATACTAGTAAGGTTAGGCTCTAGGCCTTTCTTTTTAAATATAGAGTACTAGAAGTAGTAACCCCCTAGTGCCCTTATAGTAAGGCCCTAGAGACAGTAGCTTACCTAGTCCTTAACTACTAGTAGCTTAACTAGTAGTAGTAGGCCTTATAGTAAGTACTTTACCTAAGGGCGTTATAGATGTTCCGCGACTTTATAGTAGTAATAGAGAGAGGAAAGAGCGCGCGCGTACTAATCTACTAGCTACTGTCTACCGGCTAGTTCTTATAGTTTAGGCTAGCCGAGCGCTACCTAGCTAAGAAAGAGGAGGAGTAATCTTAGTTAATAGCCGGCGTTCTTCTAGTATCTTACTAGTGTCTTGTTAGTATGTTTAGTATTACTAGGCTAGAAGGTTAAGTTCTAGTAAGGTAGTAATAAGGTCCTAGCGCCCTAGTAACGCCGTAATAGAGTATTTATAAGAGGTAGTACGTAGGTTTTTACCCGGCTTTAGTACGGTTTTACTACGTGATTTATATAGTATAAAGGTTCTATATACATTAGGCATAGGTAGTAAGAACAATAATAATATATCCTTTATATCCTTAATAATAAGACCTATATAAACTTTATATATACTATAAAGTTAAAGGATTAATCCTCTAGTGTTCTACGCTACTTTTGTT